GGGTTTAGGGTTCTATAAGGGTGGTTTGCAGTTTCGCGTTTAGTTGGCGTAAACAGAACAAGCATGAAGAACGGGGACATTCACATCAGCCAACAGCAAGAAGAGCAAAATCACAGCAGTATATCTTTAAGACCCTGAATGGTCGAAGCCTTGCCATAAGCACCCGAAAAAACGAATACTCAAGAAAACCCGCCATAAGCATCTTGAGTTCGAGCCACCGATTGCCAGAAAGCGATTAGCTGTACATCCTAAACCGAAAGCCCAACCAGCCACGGCAGAAAGGAACGCCGGAACACTACGATTGAATTGTCCAGCAATGAACGTCCGGCAAACCAAACCTCAAACTAAAAGCCCTAAAAGCTTTTCAGATGTAAACCCTAATCCTGACAGCCGGAAATCTCAAACCCGAAACAACAAATATCCAAAACCCGAAAACCTGAAATCCTAAGCCCTACAAAGTAAATCTAACATCCCTGAAACCTGAAAGCCTGCGGAAGCAACCCTCACCACTCTCATAGCAAGCAGCCAGTGGCAGTGGTAGTGCACCGAGGCTGTCACAGCGGGCCCCCAAACCAAGTCCGGGGCCAAGGAACCCAGGAAGAGTGGCCTGAGGCTGGTTCTGCTACATCATATTGCCAGTTTCGGGTTTAGGGTTCAGGGACCTAAGCTTGTAACAGGGTTTGGGGCTATATCTTATGGACTTGGTTTTGGGGCTCAGGGTTTGGGGCGTACTGGAGAGCCGTTTCCCTGCCATACGTGTATGAAGACACTGTGCTGCGGAAGATCTCACAGAAAGTAATCAATCCCCGAATGACTTCTGAATAAAGTTGGCTCAAGAGCACGTGGTTCTTGGCTGGGCGTAGTTGTAACGTGATTCGCAATTCCGAATACTGCTACCAATGTACAAATAGTGGTATACAAAACAGTACTACTGCACTCACAAGATGAAGTTGACGTATTGCGAAACATGTTATGATAGAGAAGTTTCTTGCTTCGCTATCTTTGTGATCCTGCTGCCTGGGTAAAACCTCAGTCCTACGACATACAAATATACACATACGATACACGTAGATAGATAGATAGATAGATAGATAGATAGATAGACAGATAGACAGATAGACAGATAGACAGATAGACAGATAGACAGAGAGATAGATAGATACAGATGGATATAGACAGATAGGTGTAGTTAGATA